CTTCCGGGAGAAGTTACATACTTTTGGTTTGGTTGCCGATAAGTTGTGCGAGTGTGGTAATATAGACTCCTTGGTTCATTTTATGTTTGATTGCCCTATGTATGAAGAGATTCGGATGCAGAGTGACTTATTGTGTAACAGTAATAAAAATTTTTCTGAATTGGTTTTAACAAAATTAAGGTATAATGAAGTATTTGGTGTTTTAAAAACAATGTTACAGTTTCGGATGAGTTTGCGGTTACATTGATATGTTTATGTTTTATGTGCCACTTTTTTGGTATTTTAAGAATAATTTTTTGGGATTTTATTTTAGTTAATTGGTGTAAGGGGTTTTTCTTTAATATTTTATTTTATAGGTTATTTCCTAATGTGGGTTTATTAGATTGGTTCTAGTTCTTTTGAACAGTTTTACTTAAATTTTAAACTTAGTTTATCTTATATAGGATTGTTAATTAGTGTAGTAATGATTTATAATTAGATTTGTCCAGTATTATTGATTTGTTATAGGTTTAATATAATATTAAAATAATTAGGAAATAAATGTTAAGAATAGGATTTTTTTCCACTGATAGGCCTTTTAGGCAGGAGCAGTGGAGAAAAGGTTGGGACTTCACAAGGGGCGCTTGTCCCTATCCACTGTGCAAGAAATACCAACATGCAGCCAATGTACTGCTGAACATACGTATAAACAATGCCCAAACAAACATAATGAACCTAAGTGTATTAATTGCCGTCATAATAAACTCAACAATACAAACCATAGCGCAAGAGATAGTTGCTGTCCTATTTTCAATCGTATTAAAAACACCATTATCGAACGAACAGAATATGGCATATAACGATAATAAGAACATAAATTTTCTGCAAATAAATCTAGGGAGAGGTATATCAGCAACTTCTCTGCTTGTGTCTATCTGTCATAAGTATGACATAATCTTAATACAAGAGCCATATTGTATACGTAATAACCCGGCTGAGTTAGCTTTATATTTAGATATTTATAAACCTGATGTGACATTACTTCAAGAGCCATATACATACAAAGGATTAGTTAAGGGTTTTGGAGTACGAACAAGGATTGCCCAGAGTTGTAATACAACTCCGTGGGCAGCAATAGTAAAATACCAGTATAATTGGTCCATGATGGAATTATTACAATTTTCTTCGGGTACTTGTGCGGCTGCACAACTGACTTTAGAAGGAATTAGTGTATATATTGTTAGTATGTATTTCCCACCAAGTGAAAACATTCAGGTGTTGGTCTTGGAGTTAGAGATTATTTTGGAAGCTTTAGCAAATAAACAAGTAGTGATTGGCATTGATTCGAATGCGAAATCATCAATGTGGGGTAGTGATAAAATTGATGATAGAGGTCGTGCTTTGGTGGCTGTTCTTACACGTTGGGGTAATTATGTTTTGAATGAACAGGATGAGGTACCAACATTTAGATCTACACGTGGTTCATCCTTTGTGGATGTAGTGGCATATTCTCCGCAATTACAGGGTAAACTTAGTGACTGTAAGGTATCGCATGATTATACGTCTTCAGACCATGCTTTAATTACTTATAGGCTTTCTTTTAATGTGATGGTGAATAAATCTTCTTATGATGTTTATTTAGATAAGCGAGGTGTGAGTTGGAGTAAATACCGTGCTATACTTAAGAAGTATTTGGATAGTCATAAGGTTCCGATAATATTGAATAGATCTGATGTGATATGTTTATGTAATGAGTTACATAATGCTTTTAATAAAACAAATATTATAGTATCTAAGGGTAAGACAAAGCGTATTTTTAGATCTAGGTGGTGGACAGAGGAGTTAGATCTGTTACGTAAGAAGGTTTTTAAGTTTAGGAGCGTTTACCAGCGTGAACGTGATATAGTGGTAAGGCAAATTAAATTGGAGGAGTATCGGATAGAATATCGGAATTACAAGATGATGATTAATACTGCAAGACAAAACAGTTGGCTTAATTAAGTAGAAACAATGGGTAATCGAGATACATGGGGAACACCATATAAACTTGTGAGAGAGAAAGTAACTATGGGGACAATGTTGTGTTCTTTGAAAAAGGATGATTATTTGCTTGATTGGTGTGATTCAATAAGGTTTCAATTTGATATTTTGTTCCCGGATGATTGTGTTGAAGATGATACATTGTTACATACAATTATTAGAAAGGATAATGATAACTATATATGTGAGAAGCAGGTTGATTGTTTTACATTAGTTGAATTGGAAAAAGTAATAAAAGATCTTAAGGGTAGGCAAGCTCCGGGTATTGATAACATAACTTATGTTATGATTAAACAGGCTTTCCCGGTTATCAAGTATGATCTTTTGCGGTTATATAATGGGTGCTTAAGTTTAGGCATTTTTCCTAGAAGGTGGAAATTAGCGAAAGTGTTGATATTGTTGAAGGGCAAAGATAGGGACAGAAGTGTTCCAACTTCCTATAGGCCAATATGTCTTCTATCTGTAATGGGTAAAATTTTTGAGCGTTTAATAAGGTTGAGGATACAGAATTTAACTTGTGAGTATATTGACAAATGTCAGTTTGGTTTTAGGAGTGGTTTATCCACAACAGATGCTATTAGGAAGCTGTGGAATTGGACCCGTGATTCTACAAGTACTTATGTGATCGGACTGTTTCTTGATATTAGTGGAGCATTTGATAACATTTGGTGGCCTGCTGTGTTTAGGTCTCTCCGAGCCGTTGGGTGCACAGGCGATGTTTATAAATTATTACAGGATTATTTTAATGAACGGGTGGTAAGGTATTATCATGGTACTGATTTTTATGAGAAAAAAGTTAATAAGGGTTGCCCACAGGGGTCTGTGTTGGGACCAGTTGTGTGGAATTTGGTTTTTAATAGAGTCCTGATCGGTCTTCAAACTGCTGGCTATAAATTTATTGCTTACGCTGACGACTTAGTTGTTCTGATTGAAGGTTCTAGTAGACAAAATTTGGAGTGCCAGATGCGTGAGGTACTTCGGTTTCTTGTGGAATCATTAGATGAAATTAAATTGCACATATCACCTTCAAAGTCGGTGATGTTGTTGCTGAAGGGTGTCCTCAGCCCAGATCGCCCCCCCCAGTGTGCGTTTGGGCACAGCTGTGATAAGAATGGTACAGTCTTTTTGATACCTAGGTGTTAATATAGGTGTTCGTTTAGGTATAACTGACCATATTGATAAGGTGACTACTAAGGCTGTGGCCCAGTTTTGTAAACTTCAGGGGCTGTTGGGCTCGGGGTGGGGGCTGCGGCTTCCTGCCCTGAGGTCCCTTTACAGGCACTTGTTTGTTTCTATCATCATTTATGCCGCTGGTGTGTGGGGCGACGAGCTGGGGCCCCTTCATAGGAAAAAGCTTATTAAAGTTCAACGTATGGTTCTACTTATAGTTACAAGAGCGTACCGAACTACTTCGGCTATGGCATTACAAGTCTTTGCAGGGGAGTTACCTTTAGATTTGGAGGTCAGCTTGGCTTATTATAGATCGATGATACGTTCAAAATTATCCTTTACTATTGGTGGTTTTAATTATCCTGCAGACTGTCAAGGTCTGACAGATGTTGCTATTCGTCGATTGGTCAGGAAACAATTGATTATAGTATGGAATAGAAGATGGGTAGATTCAGAAAAGGGTAGGGTAACTGCCATGTTTTTCCCTACTGTCTTGGAGCGGCTGCGGGCACGCTGGGTTCAGCCTGACTTTTTTATAAGTCAGGTATTGACGGGTCATGGTGACTTTCGGGCAAAATTGTATACTTTTAAATTGGTTAATAACAGTTTATGTGAGTGTGGGGCCGAGGACACGTTGTGTCATTTTCTGTTCTCGTGTCCATTTCTACAGCATTTGAGGAAAAATTGTATATACTTACGTGATGATTTTAATTATGAACGTTTATTGCGTAGATTTATAACTGATCAGTTGATTTATACAAGGGTTTTTAAGGTTTTGAGGGAAATGTTTTTAGAACGTATGAACATACGAAATGTACATAGGGTTTAATTTTATTATATATCTTCTTTATTGTCCGGTTATATAGTTTTTATCGATTATTTTATAATTATAATTATAGTTAGGTTATTAGGTTTTTCTTTATAGCATTAAGCTGCTGAGAAGTCATATTTTGACATGTGCAGCAGGATGACTTTTAGGACATTTGGGACACTTGTCCCTATCTACTCCTCTCTAAATGGGGGTTTGGTGCTTATTTGCGCCACCCCAACTCGAATGTACCAGCTTTGTCGTGGCGGAGGGGCTCAGTACCCAGGCACACTTTGCCTAATTCAGCAATGCTGTGCTGGCGTGTGTCCTGGGGAAGCTAATGGTGCAGCGGGGGATTCAGGTGTTGACCTGTCTCTGAAACTATATCATGTGCTTGGATCACGACCTTAGGGAGAGAGGATTGAAGGCTGTCCCCGAGGTTACAGGAGTAAAACTGGGGGTGCACACCTGGGGCGCCCCATAGTGAGGGGCCCGGCGGGCCTAGCCAGCCTTAGCTGGCAGCCCTGATCAGGGGCGAATAATCTTGCCCCCTGTCGGAGTGCAGTGTGGCGCCCTGTTCAGGTCCCTCCGGCAGGGGGTGGGGGCCACTCCCGAGGCCATGGGGCCTGCCTTTGGTCCTCTCATAGGCCCTGGGCGTGGTTTGGGTGCATGGTGTGGTGGATGGGGCTAGGTTGGCACCTGGGTCTGAAGTGGGGGGATTGTTTCGTCTAAAAATTTAATATGAATAGCGATAAGAAAAGTAAAAAGCTTACAAGTGCGGGGAAAAAGGGGGAGGGTTGCCTGACCCTCAGCTAGTGTGGGGTATAGAAGTAATTTTAGTGCGGATGATACTATAGGAGGAGGTAAGTATTCTGGTGTTGGTTATTTGCAACAGGCAGAACATTTATTAATTGATTTCCGTAAAAGCGTACTGCATAAAGATTGTCGATTGTCTCAACAAAGATCTGGGGCACTTATAGATATATTTGGACAGGTGTATGGTATGGTGAGAAATTTAGTGTTGGAGAATGAGAAGTTATTGGGCAAATTAAGTGCTTTAGAGTCTAAGGATAAAAGTAGTGTGCCCAGTGATAGGGGTCAGCTTTATTCTCAAATTGTTATGAGTACGGAATTTCGAGATGATAAAAAAGATGTAGATAATGTAGTTATGGTACATGGTTTACCTGAAGTGGAAGATGAAGAGGCGAGAAAAAGGTTTTTAAAATGTATAAATCCTTTAAAGGATATGGTTAGATTGCAAACTGTTCAGAATCTACGGAATGGAGGTTTAGTGGTGACTTTGGCTTCAGATAAGGATAAGGATAGGTTGCTAGAAAATACATTATTAGAGAGAGAGGGTTTAAAGTTATCAGTACCAGTTCGTAGGAGGCCAAGATTGTTGTTAACAGATGTCCCTCGGGATGTACAAGGTGATGATTTATTGCGATTAATTTTGGAATTGAATAAAGATTTGATGTATGGTGACAGGACGGTTGATTTGGAAGAATTTAAGGAACACTTTAAGTTATTATATAGAACTGGTAAAAAGCGTAAATTATTGGTGAATTGGATTATTGAGGTATCACCAGAGTTTCGTAAGTGTTTGTTAAGGTTAGGTAGACTATATATTGAGTATAGGTCATGTCAAGTAAAGGATTATTATGAGATCTCCAAATGTTACTGTTGTCAGTTGTTCGGTCATATTGCAAAGTATTGTCGGCAAGAGAATGGAAATTGTTATAAATGTGGTGAACAGGGCCATCAGTCAAAAGATTTTAAGATTCAGCATCCATTGAGGATTTGTATTCCGTGTCGTCAAGCAGGTAGAAAATACGATCATTTTTCGCGGGAAAAAGTTTGTAGTACTTATCATGTTATGTTAGCAAGATATAAACAAAATATAGATTATGGCTAGAGACGTTGATTCATTAAGTTTTAAAGTAGGACAACTTAATATGCAGCGTAGCAAGTTAATTCCCGATGAATTAGGATTGTGTATAAATAAATTTAATTATGATGTTTTGATCGTACAAGAGCCATATGCTTATAAGAATAGAATGAGGGGGTTTGGAGCTAAGATTAAAGTGGTTCAGTGTTTGGATCAAACACCTTGGGCTGCTTTAATTGTTTGTCAGGAGCGTTGGTCAGTTATGCAATTAAGTCAGTTTACTTCGGGCACTTGTGCTGCGGCACAATTTGCCAGGGAAGGTTTGGCTATTTATGTAGCAAGTTTCTATTTTCCCCCGAACGATGATATTCGAGTTTCAATCTTAGAGATGGAGAGGGTATTACAAGCTCTACAGGATCAGTTGGTTATAGTTGGTGTGGATAGTAATGCTAAAAATCCAATATGGGGTAGTGATAGGATTGATGATAGAGGGGAGTTATTGTTAGGTCTTTTTAGTCAGTGGGGTTATACTGTGCTTAATCGTCAATCTGAAATTCCTACTTTTAGGTCCACGAGGGGTTCGTCCTTTGTGGATGTTGCGGCTTACTCCGCTGGTTTATGTAATTATATGAGGGATTGTGTGGTTACACATGACTTTACGTCGTCTGATCATGCTTTGATAAATTATGAGGTTCAGTTTGGTCATGTAATGCAGATTGGGGATGACGGTGGTTATTCTGGGGTGATTGTTGACTGGCGTAGATTTATTGGTATTATCAGATCCCATTTACAAGTTAATAAGGTTCCATTAGTAGAATCAATATTGATGTTATTGAATTATGTAATATAGTACATTCGGCCTTTTATAAGGCTTGTTATTGTATACGGGGGGGTTAAGCGTAAACGGAAGTTTAGTAAGAGGTGGTGGTCGGATGATTTGGATTTGTTGCGTAGGAAAGTTTTTAGATTGCGTCGTTTCTATCAGAGAGAACGGGATGTAGTATTACGACAGGTTAAATTACAGGAGTATCGGTTGGAATATGGAATTTATAGGAGGAAGATTTTTAAGGCTAAACAGAATAGCTGGCGTAATTTTGTGGAATCAACAGTTAACCGGAATTTGTGGGGTTTACCCTATAAGATAATTCGGGAAAAGATTTCTATGATGAATGTTTTGTCGTCTATTCAGGGAGAATGTGAGTGTTCCCTAGATTGGAGAGATAGTGTTAGGAATTTATTTAAAGTTTTGTTTCCAGATGATGACAGTATTGGTGATACGGTGGAACAGAGTACAATTAGGAGAGAAAATTTTTCTTATAATATAAATAAGTTTTCTGAGCCGTTTTCGATGGATGAACTTAATTATGTCGTAAATACGCTTAAGGGAAGGCGTGCGCCAGGAATAGATGGTATCACGTATGAAATGGTACGTAGAGCATTTCCAGTTATAGATTCATACTTGTTACGACTTTATAATAATTGTTTGATTTTGGGTGTTTTCCCGAATCGATGGAAGGTGGCTAAGGTCATAGTATTGTTAAAAAGTAGGGATAGAAATCGATGTGATCCTAAATCTTACCGGCCTGTGTGTTTACTGTCTGTACTGGGAAAAATATTTGAAAAATTATTAAAGATTAGACTTAGAAGGTTGTTCGTGGGATATATTGATGAAGGCCAGTATGGTTTTAGAGAGAAACTTTCTACTAAGGATGCTATTCGGAGGATTAGAATGCGGACAGAGAACTTTAACAGTAAATATGTTTTAGGATTATTTATGGATATCTCCGGGGCATTCGATAATATTTGGTGGCCCGCCGTGCTATGGACTTTGTGCATTCGTGTTTGTCCACGAGATTTGTATAAAGTAGTTCAGGATTATTTTTGTAACCGTTTGGTGAGGTATTATCATGGTGATGATTACGAGGAAAAGGTTGTTAGTAAGGGATGTCCTCAGGGGTCCGTTTTGGGCCCTGAAATGTGGATAATAGTTTTTAATCAGGTGTTAATGGAGTTACGTAGATTGGGATACGAGTTTGTCGCCTATGCTGATGATATTGCGGTTTTGGTGGGAGGAAATAGCTGAGCCCAACTTGAAAAACAGCGGAATGAGGTTTTCCGGGTGATGATGGGTCACTTGAATAGTTTGAAGTTAACACTTGCTCCTTTAAAGTCGGAGATGATGTTACTCAGGGGTTCCCTCAGTCCGGATCGTCCCCCCCAGCGTGCATGCGGGTACTGTGGCAATTCGTATGGTGAAGACAGTCCATTACCTTGGCGTAAGCCTCGGAGCGGGTATGTCTTTCTCCTATCATATTAAGGATGTTGCTAACAAAACAGTAACTCAGTTTGGGAAGCTTCAGGGTCTGTTGGGCTCAGGGTGGGGGCTGCGGCTTCCTGCCCTGCGAATCCTGTACAGACACCTGTTTGTTTCTGTTGTTGTTTACGCAGCTGGTGTGTGGGGCGACGCACTGGGGGCCCTGGATAGAAAGAGGCTACTTCAAGCCCAAAGGGTTGCACTTTTATTAATGACCTGGGCCTACCGGACAACCTCGACAGACGCTCTTCAAGTGATTGCGGGGGAGCTACCTCTGGATTTGGAGGTCAGGGCCCATTATTATAGGTTTTTGGCAAAGTTAAATATTCCATTTGTGTTGGGGACGCTATCCTTCCCTCAAGACTGCTATGGGTTGCTGTTATCTAAAACAAAAAAAGTAATTAGGCAACAATTACTTTTTGAATGGAATGTTCGTTGGAATAATTCAATTAAGGGTAGACAGACTGCATTGTTTTTTCCGACAGTAATGAGCAGGGTCCATGCTCGGTGGGTGATGCCGGATTATTTTGTGAGTCAAGTGCTCACTGGTCACGGAGATTTCCGTGATAAATTATTTGGATTTAAATTGGTGGATAGTAATCGTTGTGAGTGTGGGGTTGTGGATGATCTCATTCACTTTATGTTTTTCTGTTCGTATCTCTCAGCTTTACGATCTAGGTGTGGCTATTTAGATGATAGTTTTAGTAATAATAATAGATATTTTTCTAAATTAGTTTCCTCTGAGTATATCTACAGGAGGGTTTTTAAAGTTTTAAAATATATGTTTTTAGAACGGATTAATATACGTAATAGTAGTATTTTATAAGAAGTTGTTTTATTCTATCTTAATGTCCGGTTTTAATAGTATATTTATTTATTTACTTATTTGTATTTTAGGAATAGATTATAATTATTGGAATTTCTGCCGAGATGTCATAAGACAAGTGCGGTAGGGTTAGCTTGGGACTATTGGGACGCTTGTCCCTATCTACTGGAGTGGATTGTTCCGCTGAGTGGAGAGGCTGTGTGCAGATCGTGCTCCGCGTTTTTTCGAGATTTTAGTAGTTTAACTTTTTACATCGAAGTTTTTTGGTGTGGTGTGTGACAGTGCTATCGGATAGGATCCTACAGACGTTGAATTTATTTTTCTGGACCCATTTTTTACGGAGTTATGAGAGAGTAAAGTTCATAAAAGTTAAACCGTTTTTCCGGACTTATATGGACCGATTTTCCGGAACCGGTTCCATCGTTGGGAAGAACATCATAAAGTGAGTACATCCTCCAAATTTGGTTTTATTTGGCCCGGTTGTTCTCCTGTTATTGGACTTTTTGCTTCATTCTTTGGCGGGCCGCATCGGGCTTAATTTGGACTATCACTCCAAACTTTCGACATCATCGGGGGCCCACTGGCAACTGCTTGATCTTGGCAAAGTTTCAACTCTGTGCCCTTAGTGTGATAAGAGATATTGCAGTTTTAAAAATTTACTACAAGTTCAGCATTGCAGAGGTCAATAACCTCCAACGGATTCTACAACCGTCGCTTCGTTTATACGGCCGGATCTTGACAAGCGCTTCCATTAACTTCCGGAGTTGCGGATACCGAATAAATACGGACTTTACAGATGAAAATAGAAACATTTGACTATACAATACCTGTAGAGTTCATTGATTGTACCTCTGGATGTACTGTGATTTATTGTTTAGATTTAAGTAGCCTTAAGTAGTGTAAGCTAGATTTACCTATCGTTTCTCTCTGCTCTGCCTGGTGTAACCCGACAGAGCAGAGCCGTTTTGGAACTAAGGTTCCCACTGTTTACATCTCTTCAGCTTTGGGGAGGTACATAACAAGAACACAGGGGACTGGGTAGCTTTAAGTGTGGTGTGCTCTACAATTGTGTTAACTATGGAAAACTTTCATAAAGAGGCTAATTATATCGTCGAAGAAGTGAAGAAGTATTTTTATTTTTTATTTTATTAAAGGTAATAGGAGGCATTACTCGTAGGTATATCCTCAAAGAGATGAAAAGAAGTGAGAAGAAGGTAGACGTAAGTGAAAGGTTTTGGCAGGTGCCGAAAGGGGGTGAAGACAGTAGGAAGAAAAAATAAGAGGAAGAGGGAGGTCATGAGCTGCATCACATAGTTTATTTTAAAACCACAAAATTACTAGATATAAAAACATAACAAAATAATGTACATTTGGAATGTAAGGCGGCAGCAGTATTTAAATTCCCACTTGGAATAGACACAGCTGCTTAAAGATGCTAACAAACAATTGTACACAAAGAGCAAACAACTCAATTCGCGTGTTGAAAAGAACCAGCTACCTGCTGGTGTTGAGTTCTAGCGCCTTTGTGGCTGAAACAAAAGCAGTGAGTTCATTGTAGATGTTTTTATTTTCAATTAAAACACTAGTGTCGCACGGCCAGGCAATGCATTCTTGAAGAACAGCGTGGATCAGTTTGTTCCTCTGTTGTTGAAATTTCTTGCAGTAGTATATCAAGTGTTTGTTATCCTGATTAGAGGTGCCATCACATTCACAAGTAGGAGTAATGCTATGGCCAAACCTATAGAGATAGAAAAGTGAAGAAGTATGCATCAGAAAACCCTAATGGAAAATTTTGTGTGGAATATCATATGCAATACATCACTAAGCAATTCAATAGATTGATTGTGCTGGCAGAAGCCTATATGACTGCAGATGTCTATCTTAAAAGAATAGATGACAAGCTTGCACAGTTGGCTGCTAAGGAGAGTCAACATGGAGAAATTTGCACAGACAGCATCATTAGTACTCAAAAAGAAATATTAGGAAAAATTCAGAAGCTAGAGGATAAGGCAGGAGGTCCTGTCTGTCAACCTTTATATAGTGACATGGTTAAAAATGCAGGAACAAGTAATTTTAAACGAGTACCCATGGAAAAAAGGAATACAAATGAGGTTATTCTGGTATATAGCAAGGAGAAAGAAAGTATGACCAGTGAGACTGTTCGGAAAGCAATGCAGGAGAAATTGAAACCCTCTGCTATGAAAGTAGGAATTGACAAAATGAGAAAGGTAGCAGGAGGAGGTGTTGCTATTGAACTCAGTAACAAAGGAGATGCGACTGTTCTGGAGGAACATATAGCGAAAGCCCTACCACAATTGATTACTAAACGGCCAAAGAAACGATGGCCACATGTGGTTATATATTCCGTACAAATGGATATTGCAAAAGAGGAATTAGGTACATTAATATATCAACAAAACGAAGACATTAGTAACTTTATGAGCGAAGAAGACTTTAACAAGCAGTTTATAGCGAAATTTACGTTGGGAAAGCACTCAGCCGTGTATAAAAACTGGGTTGTGGAGGTTTCTCCTACCTTACAGAGACGTCTAATCAACGGCAATAAAATCAACGTCGAGTGGTCGCGCTGCAGGATTGCGGACTTCTGTCCGGTCCTGCAGTGCTTCAAATGCCTTGAATACAATCATGCGGCAAAGGATTGCCCTCACAATGAGCCGATTTGCAGCCACTGTGCTGAAAATCATGTCTATAAAGAGTGCCCTAACAGGGGAAAAGAACCTCTCTGCTATAACTGTAAGAAAGGAAAAAACAGCAACTGCAAACACAACGCACGAGACTCATCTTGCCCTATTTACATGAGAATAAAAAGTAACATTGCTGCAAGAACCGAATATGGACCTGACTAATAAACACGAAATTAGTATCCTGCAAGTTAATGTAGAAAGAAGCATCGCTGCTACCTCCCTACTTAGTAATCAGACAACGAAATATGACCTTATAATGGTGCAAGAGCCATATTGTCAAAACAATGTTCCTTCCTGTCTTCCAATCAGATGTCCTATAATCAAAGGAACAGAAGGATTTCCATGGGCAATTACTGTGGTTTCAAACAGCTGTCTCTCCATTATGAAACATACAAAATATTGTAGTGAATATGTTGTCACCACGGAAGTACTACTACACAATGAAAGAATCATCATAGTAAATGTTTATTTCCCTGGAGAAGCAGACAGTGTTAGCTTCATCAGTAACTTGCAGAAGATTATGCATGATTTCAACAATATAAACATCATGATAATTGGTGATATGAATGCCCATTCCCCGGCATGGGGTGGAGATTACCTGGATACCAGAGGCGGACTATTAGAAGAGTTCTTTGCTTCCAATAACATAATTATTATCAACAACCCTTTCTCATAGCCAACTTTCGTCTCATCCAGAGGCGAAAGCTAGATAGACTTAACAACCTGTAATCAAGAACTTTTTCCACTTATCAGTAACTGGAGAATATTGGAGGAGGATAGTCTAAGTGAACACAGTTATTTAGCCTACAAGATTACAAAGAAAGGAAATAACAACTCCATGGTTCTTAATAAAAGAAATAAATATAATGTATCAAGAGCAAATTGGGATGAAATACAATGCTTTCTACAAGAACATCTCAATGATAATTACTATAACGACCCAGCGGAAGTAAGATCACAAATTGAACATGATATTGAAACAATTAACCTGGCTTGTAACAGATATATCCCAACTAAGAAATACAGAAACAGAAGTGTCCCATGGTGGACTCCTGGGCTTACAAGCCTCAGGAAAGAGTGCCGTAAGCTCAGAAAGAGGTTCCAACGATGCATGAATGATGAAATAAGACCATTACATAGAGATGCATTTCTGCAATGCCAGCGTACATATAAAAGCCTCATAAAAGAAGAGAAAACAAGAAGCTGGAGGGAGTTTTGCTCCAAACATTCGGCCAATCCCTGGGGATTTATAACACGCATGTGCACAGATAAATTGCGGAAAACCCAGATACTCACTTCGTCCACTGAACATGAACCAAAAACTTTATTAGAAACTATGCAAGACAAGCTAGACACATTCTGTATCAATGATGATCAATCTGATGACTCGGATTGGCAAAGACGTTTGAGACAGGACATATTCAAGCTGGATAATACAAATAATACTGAACCTTTTACAATGGAAGAAATTGATTACATTATTGCAGGATTGGGCAGGGGCAAAGCACCTGGCCCAGACGAAATCACAGCAGATATCATCATTAAATTGTGGAGTATTATTCCTTACTATCTATTCAATTTGTACAATGCTTGTCTACAGCATGCTATTTTTCCTACACAATGGAAGTTGGCCAGGATAGTTCCGGTGCCTAAGCCCGGCACAGCTGGAGATGTGAGACCTATCTCATTATTGCCCATAATGGGAAAAGTACTCGAAAAATTGATAGTCAATAGGCTTACGTGGCTAATTGAAAAGAATCAAACCATTAGAGAGTGCCAGTATGGGTTTCGTATTCAGAGATCTGCTGAAGATGCAGTGCAACAGGTAGTTAAACATGTTCAACTATTACTGGATACCAATAAATATGTCCTTGGGGTCAGCCTGGACATATTGAAAGCATTCGATAGTGCTTGGTGGCCCCTCATAACCTTTCAGCTCCGCAACATCAGATGCCCGAGAAACATTCTACAACTGTTACATGATTACTTTAAAGACCGCAAGGCAATCTTTGAATATGGACAACATAGTGTAACAAAAACCATTTGTAGAGGATGCCCACAGGGGTCGGTGTGTGGGCCTATGCTATGGATTATAACATTCGATGCTTTCTTGAGGAACAACTTTGGCCAGGATTGCCTTTATGCATATGCGGATGACGTGATGTTGCTGATGGGGGGCCGGTCCAGAGCTGACCTGGAGGAGAGAGGAAACATAATCTTAAACAAGATATACAAGTGGGGAATTGATTATAAACTGAGCTTTAACCCTAACAAAACAAGTGCTATAGTGTTTAATAGACCAGGACAGCAAAACCTCTATCTGAGACCATCGCACTTGAAGATGAACAATATTACAATAAAAGTGGAGGAATCACTTAAATACCTTGGTGTATTTCTCGACTTCAGACTTACTTGGAATAAACACATTGAGTACGTGACCTCAAGAACTGGGATGATCATGAACTCTTTTGCCCAAGTTGGTAAAAAAGACTGGGGTTTAAATAGTGATACAATGACCATCATCTATGACGCCATCTTCCTTCCAATAACCTCATATGCCTGCGGCACCTGAGGATGGGCTGCTCAGAAAGTTCACCCAAAAAGAAAACTTATTTCAGCTCAAAGGCGTGCGCTTTTGATGATAACTAAATCTTATCGCACTATCAGCAATAGCTGTCTCCAGGTGATCGCTAGGAAGCCACCGATTGATATAGAAATTCTTCAAAAAAGGAAATATCACCAGATCAAATGGGGTAATACTATTACGATTCTAAACAACAGCATACAGCAAGATGATGTTGAATGGATGACCCGTATAAAGATACACTTTTTCCAATGGGTTACAAAATAAATAAGGACATAAACAATGACTGTGACAAAATAGATATTTACACTGATGGGTCAAGATTAAATGATGCTGTTGGATGCAGCTTGGTGGTTTATGAGAACTTACTGGAAAAATCACACCAGATCTATTGCCTCGATAATAAATGCACAGTATTTCAGGCGGAGTTACTTGCCATTGATAAAGCGGTTGATACTGTAAATAGAGATTATAACGGTTCCAATGCTGTTATACACACAGATTCACTGTCTGCTTACAGACTTATATACAGTACAAAATTACACCCATTAGCGGAAAAAATTAGAAACAGCATTCGTACGTCTAACTGCAAGATACAGCTGACTTGGGTTAAGGCCCACCATGGCATAACTGGAAATGAGAGAGCAGACTCTCTTGCTAAGACTGCTACTACTCTTGATCGTAATCTGATTGAATACAACAAATTAAGTAGACGAACATTACGAGGCATGTTGTGGGAGGAGACTATAGAACTTTGGCAGACAGCATGGGATCAGAATAAAGATCATATTACGTACAAATTCATTCCACATCTCCAGCATTTCTTACGAATTAACTGGTACTCACCAAATTTCTATTTAAACCAAATACTTTCTGGACATGGCAAGTTTGCCAATTACTTGACTCGGTTTACAATTAACACTTCAAATGTATGCCCTGTGTGTGGTACTGTGAATGGGCCTGAACATTACATGTTTGATTGCATATCCGTTGAAAAGGAAAGAACCGAATTCAAATTGTTACTTCAGACCATTAACATTAACTGGCCATGCAGGCATTCTGACATCTGGACAGATAGAAATATCTATAACAACTTTAAGCAACTTGCTAAGACAATCTGCACTATCAATAATTGTATGATATACAGTTAATTGTTTCGTAGGCACAAGTGTTGCCTATCCCACAGACTACACACGAACTGTGTGTTGCTGACACTGTGAGTGTGTAATATATGTATATATTTACTTTGCTCACTCTTTTCTTTTACCTATAATTTTAATGTCTGTATATTCATGCATCTGTATTTTGTAATAAAACTGTATCCCTACCCTGATAATGCCACTGGCGGGGTCAGGAATGTACCCAGGTACTTTAATTAATAAAATGAATGAATGAATGTCCCTATCTACTGGGCCGATGAATTCTTGGAGTTTGTCAGCTCCAGGGGACTGTACATACTGAATGATCCCGGGTCCTTGCCCACTTTTGAAGCAACAATTGGAAAGAGCTGGGTGGATGTAACATGTTGCAATGGTCGTGCGCTTAGACGGCTTAACAACTGGCACGTCTCTGGCAACTCCAGTCTGAGTGATCATGGTTATGTATTCTACTGGCTCGGCGCACAATGCCCAATAGAGCAGACTATTGACAAATACGACACAAAACGTGCGGACTGGGACTCATTGAAAACAGAGTTGGTCGAAGGGGCGGCTAATCTCCATCTTATAGATGTCAGCGGTTTTTCCCGGCAGACCGGCCGGAAGATGACTCACCCGAACACAAGAGAGTGTGGAGTGCAATAGGAACAGACTATCTAATGAGTGGTGCCCCAAACTTCACCTTCACCGAAGTGGAAGAAGGAGAAGGTGTTAAACATCTGAAGAGGGGTAAAGCCCCAGGCATAGACGGGATAACGACTGATATAGTCCAAAACATCTGGGCAATGATTCCAGAAGAGATCGTGAAGGTTTTCAACATCTGTCTGGAGTACGCCATCTTTCCAGAGAGGTGGAAAACGGCGAGGCTAGTGATAATCTCTAAAAGTCCGGATGCGGACAAAGAAGAACCTGGGAGCTATAGGCCCATAAGCCTACTCCCAGTTATGGGCAAGATTTTAGATTTTCTCATTGTTCAAAGAATGACATATAAAGCGGTCAACGACCAGATACTTAGCCCAAAGCAATATGGGTTTTTGCCTGCAAAGTCGACAGAGGATGTCATCAATCAAGTTATAAACGATGTTAAGCACACTATTAAACACTTCAAGTATTGTTGCTTGCTGAGCCTCGACATCCGGGGCGCTTTTGATAGCGCCTGGTGGCCTCAGATACTGTACAATCTTCGGCTCGCTCAGTGCCCTAGTAATATATACAGGGTCATTGAAGATTATTTTAAGAACAGGACTGTCAGCTACATAGAGGGCCAGGTTAACGTCACCCGCCCCATCAGCAGAGGGTGCCCACAGGGGTCCAACTCAGGGCCCATATTCTGGAATCTGCTATACAATAGCTTTCTTCAACACGACAAAAATGCGAGTGAATACGCCTATGCCGATGATACCATCCTTCTGTTCGGGGCT